TATTGCTAATGTAATAATTTAACCACATATATTAAGCATAAAATCATATTGTCAATGTCCAAATTCATGGTTTTATGCTGACAATAAACCACTTAGTGAGCGATCTATTAAAACTRTCTATTTAATTTGTTTTAATATTTTTATRTGAATTGTATTTTCAGGACACATGATATTCAAAAGATCATTTTTGCCAAACCTGCTRGCTACGCAAATAAGTATTGCTTCCGTGATTCCGATTATATTTGCAGCGCTATATTTTCTGACAAAAAAAGCGTTTATATTGTCAAAGATTGCGTTAGTCGTCACCAGTGTGGTGAGCGTGCAACGAGCATATTGTTTAACATTATAGATATTTTTTTATAATTTCGACRGAAACGGTAAAAATTAATYTCATTCRACATTTACATTTTTGCAGGTGGGTTACGGTTCTTTGTTTTTACACCACAGCAGCAAGCCTTTTGGAGGACACTCATTYGGTGGTCATCAACCGTTTGRTGTTCAAAATCCATTCGGCGGCTCATATCATAGTCCAATTGGTGGTCATCATCATCAACACTATCATCCKATCGGTGGCCATCATAACRCGTTCGTCGGCGACATCAGAGGTGACAAGTTTTAYGGAGACTCAAACGGGTTTCAACAGATTTCCTCGTCCAAACCATCKTCGCTGTTCCGAGGAGTCAACTACTTTCCGAAAGATGACGATCATACTAAGTACGCGGAATCAGTAGACAGAAATAAAAAGGAAGCGGAATAAATGTATGCACTTACCTAAATTTTGTGTTGAAATAATGGTATGATTCATAATAATAATGTGTTYTAAACACGCAAATGTTTGCTATTAAATGCATAGGATCACGGTTGAACACTCAAACGAGCACTTTAACTTAAATCGTTTTGATGAATAATGTTTAATTTTTTTTTTTATTTGACCACTATTATTATAGAAGCTAAATTTTATATTTCCCACAAAAAATAACTGTTTTAAAAAAAAAAATGCTATCTTTAAGTTCCTAAATTGTTTTTAGTCGTTAAATTTATGAAAATATAATTGGTTTATACATAGAAATATATTATAGTAAGTAAATATTAGAATTGTTATCCGCTTTTATATTTCGYGAAAGAATACGGTCTATGCTTATTATTAAATATGATATTATTTATTACCTATTACGTACCTAATATTATGTATAAAAACAAGCGTTTTTACCGGTCTGGTGAAACCAGAGTAGTGTGGCGGGGACCTAAAAATCTGAATTTAAAAACACGAGGTTAATTTACTTATAAAATTTGAATTAAAATGTATTTCATACTGAGTAACCATATGAAAATTTAATTTCCGTAGAAATGGTCAGCTATAGCGTGAATAATTTGTCTGATTTTGTCTCATAGTTGTTTAAAAATTKTTACAACGAATTTTTTCTGCACAATGTAATTMTTTAAGCCTTTAAATTACTAAAGCATTATCATGTCTTTATTTACGTTAAATTACAGATTCATATTTTAGTAACTACATATTTTTTTCTGTCATGTTCCATGTAGCAACTTATACATCTCATTTTTATTCATCTAAGAATTAATGTTCCTACCATTTTTACCGTGGAGAATTTACATAATATGTATCTTTTTCTAGTGTATAGGAACTGAGTCGCCGTCAATACCGCGAATCCAAAAAAGCGAACGTCAAAATAGCGACGGCAAAATAGCCAAGTACAAAATAGCWAAAAAAACATAATAGCGAATGATCAAAACTTTTACTAATTACTAAAAACATATAAAAATGATCATTTTAAAATAATATACTTTAGCTATTTTGAACATTCGCTATTATATGGGTTTTARCTATTTTATACTTAGCTATTTTGCCGTCGCTATTTTGACATTCACTTTTTTGGATTTGCGGTAATGGCGTGATACCTAGGAACTAAAATTGTGTATTTTTACCTATTAGGTCTTGTGTACGACACCTTTAAGTGCACTCCAAGAAAAATATAAAATACCTATTTTATTTTTAGAACATAATAAAGGTTATTTATAGGTAACAAATACTATTGTAATATAAAATACCAAAATATGTATATTATATTATATTACAACAATTATTTATGATGTACTTACTATTTTTTTAATTGAAATTTGTAAAAAAAAAGTATCTTGATATGGAGGTAACCAAAGTACTCGTATATTTATTGTTTAGCAAACTTGAAAAACAATTAGTATTTAATGTTTAACAAAAAATTWATATATTATATATTAAGGTTTTTTTAATATTAAAATATTACAATGTAYGAAAAAATTGTATTGATTGATTATGTAAACAAAGCGAAACCATATAATATGTACTCCATTCTCCAAAATCTATAAATGTATAGTGGTGACGATACAGTTTTTGTACTAACTGAAAAATCGTCCCACATCGATTGACCCTACAACATGCACTTACTGTATACATCAAACAGAATGAGATCATCTCTGGGATTTTGTCTTTCAAGCACAATAATATCTGCTATGTGTAATTGTTTCTATAATTGTTAGTTCGTGTTATATGCGTATAAAAAAAAGATTATTAATTTTAAGGGGCGAACGCAG